GAAAATTTTTTAAAATTTCATAATAAAATAGATCAAAATTTCAGCATCATCCGATTTCAGCTTCATCCCCGACAATATATATTATATAAATCTCGACATTATATACCTGAACACCGGTTTCGTGACCCTGCAACTGTCTCACATATTTCATTCTATTCAAATCCCATATTATGCAAGTCTTATCCTGTAAAAGTAGTTAGAACATTAATATCTCAAAAACTACCATTTATTTCTTAATATTTGCATTTATACATACATCTGACCCACTTATGATAATACTATAAGATCTAGAATTAGTAACACAATTGATCTTTGCGGAATGTCCTCGTAAGCATTCCATAAAACCACATTCTGGCGATTTAGTTTGCCATTTAAATCTCCAAATACAAATAACCTAATAAGAACATAAAAAAATTAGTAATAAAATTTTTTTGTTTAGCACGAAGATAGACTAGTATTTTGATGTAAAAAAAATTTTACCGCATCAGTTCCTCCAGTAATAAACGTTCTTCCGTCTGCAAAGCAAGCACAACTTACTGTTTGCAAATGAAGGTTTTCATATAGGCCTACCAACTATCAAAAAGAAGTATGATAACTCAGTTGGCGAATTCAATGTTTCATCAACAAAATATTTTGACGAACCTTTTTAGTATCTGTTTGATGAAGTCGCAGACTGTTATCAGAGTAGCCCCACTCAACATAATAATTATAATTTGGCGGAATTAAAATTTTTTGTGTGCTAACAGCAAGCAACCGATCATTCGACATACGTATATCATGAACTTGAAATCGAATATCTTATATATTTAAAATTTTGGTCTGATTAACATCTGTAAAGCAATAGCAAGGTTGATATATAGATAAACTTCATTACCAAGCAAAGGGGATATTGATTGTACTAGCATTTCCACACTTTCGTTAAATTTGTAATTATTCGAATCATTTGTATCGGAAGACCTTGCCGGGTGATGTTTCGTGAACAGTTGACGAGGCGTCTGTCCAAAATTATGAATAATTCCAGTTGTAGCCGATCTTTCGACTGGGTCACTGATGGCATCCAAATCTTGTCAAAAATTGCAAGTAAAATCTTTGCGCGACTTAAAATGTTATTTATTGATAACAATTAATAATATTATTATTATTATAGGGTGATATTGCAACATGCAGTGGGTCAATTATTCGTTTATGGAGCATCAATGGCGACAAACTAAAAGTTTAACGGAGGTTAGGTTTAGAACATGTATATAGAAAGTTCATAATATATGTCGGGGATGATGCTGAAATTAGCTGATGCTGAAATTTAGAGTCCCCATTTAAATCAATAATACCTACTAAAATTC